GGGTGACCTTGATAGCACAGAGCACCCAGGAGGGCCTCGCTGGGCACCAGAGATGGTGGCCATGTGCAGAACACCTCTGGGAGCCAGCCGCAGAAGTGGGCCTCCAGTTACAGCCTGACTCTGCAGCCACATCACAGGGTGACCCTGGGGTCCACAGAAGGGGCAGGGCCACCTTGGCTACTAAGACATTTGAGGACCACAAAATGCCACGAGGTCAGAGAGGCTGGGCCAGGTCAAGGCACTGTGGCCGGTGCTGGGCAGGGGCCCCGCTTTGCTGCCCTTTTTTGTCTCCACCTTGTTGTGTTGTCCTGTGGCACCTTTCAGCACCCGGGGGGACGCTGGAGCGGGGGTGGAGGAGTAGAAATTTCTACTGGGGGAATAGAAATGGCCAGTTCTGCAGGGAGAGCGGGTGGCAACCAGGAGGCAGGTGGGGCCCCATGCACGTCACACCCACCGGCAGGTTCTCCTGACTGAGTCACCAGGGGCAGGTCCAGAGCCACCGGCAACCTCCTTACCTGAGATCCAGCTGAGGACCTCCAGAGCCTTCCCAGGTGCCTGCCTCATCTGAACCTCGAGGCTCCAGAGCCTGACCCCCTCCCCTGGGGTGTTTGGGTGGCCACTGATGGAGGGGACGAACATGACATTGGAAATAAGTCCAAATGGGAGAGAGCCAAGGGTCTGGAGGGTGAGGGCTGGCTCTGCTGGCCGCTGGGGCACCGGGAGGGACCACACAGGAAGGCAGTCCCCATCACCTGGACCAGAGGACACACAGGCTTCCCATGTCTCCACCTCCCTCCACAGGTATCTGGTCAGCTCGCCCAGCGAGCCTCCTAGCAGACGCAGTCGCAAACAAGCCTGGGCACTGCAGCTGCTCCCAGAGGACCCAGGGGGCTCTGCTTCCCTAGGCTCCATCTGGGGGCATGGCACCAAGGGGATCACCCTCTTTCAAAAGTGCCTCAAAAACGGGATTGTTTTTGTAAACTAGGCTCGTCTCTTTATTATACAGGTCTCTGTACATCTGTCTTTTTTGATAGATTTTTAGTTATCATTTTTAATTACAGGGAAATATTCGTAAGATGAAAGTTACCATTTTAACCACATTTACATGAACTGCTCAGGGGCGTCATTCAGACCATTGAGCAATCCCCACCAGCCCTCGCAGGAACGCTTTCCACCTTGCAAAACTGAAACTCTGTGCTTAGTAAACAATGACTCCCACTGCCCCCGCCAGGCCCTGGCCACCACCCTCCTTCCCATCTCCATGACTTTGACTCACCTGGGTATCAAGTGGAAACTCACAGCACGCGTCCTGATTTGTGGCTGGCTTATTTCACTTAATGTTCTTGGGTTGTGGCTTATATCCGGACTCCAATTCCTTTCCAAGGGTGAGTAATATTCCAATGTGTATATATGCCCCATTTTCTTCATCCTTTCAGCAGTCAGTGAATACTCTGGGGTTGCTTCCACCCTCTCACTACAGAGAATAATGCAGCTATTGCCTGTGGGTATGCAAGCAACTTTTCAGGTCTCTGTGTTTAATTCTTTCTAGTGTACGCCCACAGGTGGACGTGCTGGGTCATGTGGGACTCCTCTTGCTGTTGCCACTGGGGTGTTGTCATTGAGCCCCAGGTGCTCACAGCATTGTCCAGCTCTTCTGTCCTGTACCTTCTGGAGACCTGAGTCTGCCTACTTTTCAATCAGTTATGAAGGAAAGACTACTGAATGCCCCAACAAAAATTGGAGACGTGTCTACTCCTCCTGTTGGTGCCATCTATTTGGGGCTTGGAAGCTCTGTTGTCAGGAGCACCTGCATAGAAGATCCTTTATGTGTTTTGGGTCCCTTTATCATTAGGAATGTTCCTCTTCATTCCTGCTAACCTTCCTGGACTTTAAATCTGCTTTGGCTGACATCCATGCAACTCCAGCTGTCTTCTGTTTAGTGTTTGCATGGGACATCTTTCTCCACCTCCTTACCTTTAAACTATCATTGTGTTTATAACTATGTAATTAAATATTGTATACTCAGATCTTGTGTTTTTTAATCCAATCTGGAAAGCACAGTCTTTTAACTGGTATTTTTGCATCATTTACATGTAAGTGCTGATATGGTTAGATTACTATCTATCATTCTACTGCTTTCTATTTATTCCATGTGTTCTGTATTTCTTTTATCCTCTTCTTCCTTCTCCCGAGTTAAAATATTTTGATTCCACTTTACCTATTATATTGTCTTATTATTTATACCTTTAAATAATTTTTTGCTTACCCTAGGGCTTGCGTGTCCTTAATGCATAAGACTAACTTCCAATAACACAACACCACCTTATGGTAAAATAAGGGTGTACAACAGTATGTTTCCAATTCCTCCTTCCCACTCTTTATGATATGGTTGTGACTATCCCTAAAGCTAAGGATGAAAACTTTTCAAAGAATTAGAGAGAACAATACCTGTTCCCACGGCTGGCCTGGAAAGACTCATAATTCACAAGGCCTTGGGTTCAATATGCAGAAGGACCTGCTTAAGCAATGGAAAGTAGTTAGATCCAGACGAAATGCTTCTCTGGTTCTACCTCTCCGATCTCAGTATCATGCTCCAAAGGATCAAAACCTTTCCAAGTGCCTCAGTTGCACCAAAGTATAAAAATGGAGTTCATTCATAGTGATATACAAACACTCAGCACCCTTGGGGAAATGGCTGAATTGGGGCTGGGGCAGGAAGCGCATCAGAGTGGCCTGTGACACTTGTCATGACAGAAAGTAAAGAAATACCTTAAAAAATAAAAAGGAAAGAAATCTGCACTGACTCGGTAGATCGAAGGCAGGCAGGAAGTAGATGAAAAACTTCAAGGCCCAAATCAAAGCAATCTGGGAGAACTAGTGGGGTCCTGTGGGGCAAAGCAGGGGAGGCAGAGGGGCTGAGTGTGGGAGGCGGGCGTGGGATCCTGTGGGTGCCAAGAGCCACGCCAGAGCTCCAGTTACTACACTGGGTACAAAGTGGAGCCACCAGGGGCTCTGAGCAGGGAGGGTGTGACTGTGTTCCTGTCTCCAATCCCGCTCACTGCTTGGTGGACACTTAATTCCAGGGAGGTAAGAAAGACGCAGGGATAACATTTGGGGTTATTGCAATGCTCCAAGGAAGAGACGTAATGGGGAATTCAGAGAGTAGAAGCTTCACTACTCATTGGAGCTTCACTACTCATTTTGGTACACGGGGTGATACTGGTGTTGAGAATCAGGTCCCAGACTCGTTCCCCGGTGTTAAAGACTGAACACCCAAGAAACACGGATGCAAGAGCAAGAGGTTTTATTTAAAGGTAGAACAGAAAGAAAGACACAGACTTCTCCGCGGGGGAGGGGGGGTCCGAAGCTGGTGCCAGAGGGAGTGGGGTGTCTTGACCTTTTTATAGATTATTTTAGATTCCCTTTGTTCTCATGCACCCTCCTCCCATACTGCCTGGGTGACTCAAAGGTGGAGTAATCCAAGGGCTGAACAAGCCACCCAGGGGTACAGGCAGGAAGGGAACCACCCAGGGACTACTCATAACAGCTCCTTGCAGGGAGGAACAGTTCCCCGGAGGCAGGTAACCTTGGCAACAGGTGGAGGAGGGAAGTGCTCTGAAGGTATTAGCATTTTAATTTCCTCTAGATTCAGCCCGCATCCCATCTTCCTGACTCAATCATTCTTTACATACACTAACTGTCCTTTTGTCTCCCTGGCCTCACAAGGAATAGGAATTTTTTCGTGTTTCGGGCTGAGCAGCAATGTTATGTTTCAGGGGTGATGAGTTCCTTACATTGCCCCCGCTGAGGCTGCATCTGATTGTTGATTCAGAGTTAAGGAACCGCTGGCCTTCAAGACCACTCCTGCCGTGTCAGAGCTGGGGCCTTCCAGGAAACTGAGGCAATGCAAAGACCACCAGCCCTTCAACCACGATTCATGGGACCAAGTCAGAAAGATTTCAGACATGTCACTCCGAGTGACAGGCATGAGCTTATGGAAGGGATAAGAAGAGGGAAGGAGGATATCTCAAGGGGGAAAGTGGGTCCTCTCAGAGAAGAGAGGGACAACCTCCCTCTCCTGCTCTTCAGTTTTATTAGCAATCCCAGAGAATTTTCTAGAAAGTCCTGCCCAGGTCCACCTCCTGACATTTGACTGACGATGGGGTGACATCAGACTTTTCAAGTCCCCACTGCAGTAATTCTAAGTCCCCTTTGCCCATGCTGACCAGTTCTAATTGAATTTTTAATCATTTTTACAGATATCATGGTTAGGAAGAGCTGTCCTTATCTTCCAGGATCTGGTCCATGAAAATGGTCTTAAAAAATCTTTCCCTTCTTGGGCTCCTCTTATCAACGTTATTTCCTGCCTGCATTTCCTTACTGATAACGGGTAGTTTGCTGAGGAATGAGGCATACCCTCCCCACTTAAGCCAGGAAGGGCTACAGGTAAATTGCTTTTAGGCAAAGAAAGCATGTGGGTCAGCACAGTGAGATCATTTTATAGAATTTTTCTCTTACCCTTGTATTCCCACCATCCTCATCTGTCTGTCCCCTAACACTACCACGTGAGCCTCCTCCCCTGGACACACATCAGGTCCTCAGTATCCAAAGCTAAACACAGGACCACCTTTTTCTCAGCTAGCACAGTAAGCAGAGGACCAAGACCCCAAGGAAGCACGTCACGTAGTGCCTAAGGACCCAGAGACTGGCTTCCACCTTGCTAGGTGTCTCTGGACGTGTGACTCGGGGCCTCTGTTTTCTTATACAAGAAATAAAGATTAATGGCCCCTAAGGGTTATTAAGAGGATTAAAAGATTAACCAGGTAAAGCTCTTAACACTCAGTAACAGCATAAGCTTTTGATATTTCTACAAGTGTGGCATATTTGGTGTGTAAATCCCCTGAGCGGAGGCTGTGATTTGCCAGGTTGGATGTGGCCTCATGCCACTGGTGCGTCAAGGGGGCCACACCCCTGCCTCCAAGGCTGTCTAGAAAGTTGCTCTCCTCCCTCAGTCCAGCGTCCAGCCCCTGCCTGTCTCCTCGCTCTTGTTTCCTGGTGTCTCTTCTGCTCATATTTCTCAAGGAGCCCAGACCTGACACACCCGTGTTGCTTCCCTGCCACTCATCCAAAGCCTCCCAGGACCTCTGTGCCAGCCCCGCTCCCTTACCAAAGTGGGACACCCAGGACCAGAAGGTAAGACTCCCTCCTTGCTCAGTAGAAAGCCTGGAGGTCCTGACCCGGCTTCCTCTGCCCTTAAACACAGCTGGAGCCGTGACTTTGAATCCAGGATCAAGAATACCTCTGGGCAAAAGCAACTTCTGCTGCTCAGAAGCCAGGTGTGGGGAACCTTCTCTCATAGCTTTGGCTATCTGGAGATGCCCATGGGCTCCCTGGCCCAGGCACAGAATGCTGGAGGACCTGGTGCCATGTTTAAGAGAGTGGTTGCTGATTTGCTTGTTCACTGTTTAGGGGTAACTGTGGAGTCAGGCCCTGAGGATCTCGAGGCAGGGAACGTTGAGAAAAACTGGTTCTCATTTTGAAGAGTCTGTGATCCTCAGGGAACTGTCCTGGGGCCCTAACCAGAAGCAGATGTCCCTTGAGAGTCAAAATGCCTAATGTGGCCGTGGATGGCCACAGGCAGGATCCTTGGAGATTCCTCTTTGAAAAAGAGCAGAGGAAGGTGGGGGCCAAGAGGCTTGCTGGCTGCCAGTCACTCAGGAGGGTTCATCTTAAACATGGCGGAGGAGGCTGCTCAGCAGCTGTGGGAGGCCTGGGCTGAAGACAAGACATGCTCTCTTCCTTCCTCTCGACCAAGGGCCTCGCTGCACATAAGATGTCCAGGTGATGTTCTGGACCCTCCTAATGCTCCCATGTGTGATGACAGAGTCCCCAGGCATTGCAGCCTGGGCAATCAGTGTTGCCCCAGACACCAAGGGAATGGAGCTTCCATTCAGGGTCTGCTGGCCTCAAAATATGCTCTTCCCTTCCTTCCTTTCAAATATGTATGTGAGACAGGGACTCGGGGAAGCTCTCTCTAAAGAACTTTGACCACGTTCCAGGTGCTGAAGAAGAAGCGGCGACATGTCTTCCTCCTCTCCTCCTCGCCTTGAGCAGCCGCAGACAGGCAGCTGTCCACCACCTCACACGCCCGTCCCCAACACCAGCAGCTCCGAAGACCCCATGTTCACCCCGGAGCGTAAGTGGAGAGCCAGAAACCACCCAGCCCCACCAGAGATAGGGTGCAAGGACCCTGAGTCATTGGCTCAGCTGTAAATGTTATCTGCTTGGCTAAAATCTCAGAAATCTGCAGTAGAAAATCTCTTTTCTTACTGTCTCTGTTCCGAATTGCTTGTTTATTTTAACTAAGAGGGTAAAAGGGGAAAGAAACCAATGTAATGATGACCAATTAAGTAGTTTTTGTTTCTATAACTACCCAGAGACTTTACCCATCAGGAAAAAATAGCCCCAGGAAAAAAAGGGGAAGCAAATCTTTAAAATCTCTTGGCCCCATGAATGTGCTGAGATCCTTTCTGATGCTTTGATCCACAAACTGGTCCCACCTCATTTCCCTTTTCTTTCTCCCTCTTCTCAGAACAGTCAGCCTGTCTCGAGAACCCAGAAGCCAGTATTATCAGGGTGCAGTTGGGGTCCCAACGTTAGCAATAACAGTGCCTGTGTTCTGTGATTCTGTCTTCCGGCAGTTCAGGATAGGCCCATATTCTACACCATTCGTGACTCCCAACAGATGGTGTGGGTCCTGAGTGGAGATGTTTTAATAGCAGCTCCTTCAAGCAACAATGTGCAGCCTGGTAAGTGATATCAGAAAATCCACAGTTGCTCTGGCCGGGGCCAAGAGCACGAGTTCCATGAAGTGGGCTCTGGTCCTCACCAACTTCTGGGCATCAGCCCAACGTCCAGAGGAAGGGCAGGAAAGAGCAAGATGGTCACCTTCCATAAAAGGAAACCCATACCTAGAAGCAGGGGTGTAGGGATTGGCAGCTTTCTTACCTGAAGAATCCACCTTCAGGTTACTGGGGGACTGTCCTTTCAGGTATGGCTGAACTTGGATTTTCTCTCCTCTAAATTCCAGCCATCACTCCCTCTGTCAAACTTCCCCATCTTTCCATTACACACTTCTCTAACTTGGCATCATCTCTTCTAATAATGGGGGCATGTTCCCTCCTTCCACCCAAAGCCAGCCCCTCTCGGCTTCTTTCCCTTTCTGCAGGACTTCTGCGTTGGATGGAGTTCCTCTCTCAGCGGGTACCCCACCTGTGTCCCCTGCGTCATCTCTACTGCTGCTGACAGACACACTCCAGTCTTAACACCTGCTCTTGATCCTTGCTGTCTCTTCCTGTTGCTGTCCCATTGCCCTGTGCCCTTCAGAGGCTGATTTCCCTGGAGAGTTGCCCACACAGCTTGCCTGCACCTCACTTCCTTTTCACATTTGCAGCAAAACAATCTGACTTCTACACTGCTCTCTTCTCTCCCCTAAGGTCCCTCTTTCCAAGTGCATCTTCAAATGCCAAATCCCAAGGGCACCCTTCTCAGCTGTCCTGCTGTGGAGCAGTGCCGGTTACTCTCCACCCTCCACCTTCTTCTTCCGCAAGAACGCTCCTGGGACTGAGGTCCACTGGCTCCTCTTCTGGGTTCATCTTTATGACTCAACTTTCTCCCAGAAACCTCCAAATCATGGGGTTCTTCAGGGCCCCATCTGCAACCCTGCAGGCCCTGTGAAGGGGTGGGGAGCAGGTCCTGTGGTTGGGTACATGGCTTCTCCTCTCATCACCTGACATTTGTGCTCCTGGCACACATCTCTCCGAACGATCTTCTCTGGCATCTCTAACTTCACATGCCCTGGGGTGGAACTGCAGAGACCTGTCTTCTCAAAACGGATGATGGCCCCCACTAGGGGCACTGCCCGCTGCTCTACTGGCTTGGGCCAGGAACACAGGAGGCATCTGGATGCCTGACCTCACACCTCCTCCATCCACCAGCGAGACCACTGAGTCTGTATTTCTAAGTCAGTATCATCTCCAGCTGGGACTGGCACCCCGCCCCCGCCCTCCTTCCCACTTCATTCATGGAACCTCCAATCCATTCTCCGCAGAGCCTCAGGAGGGACCTTCTTATGTGTAGAACTGAGCAGAAAGGACTTTCCTTTCCCTGTGAGCCCTTCTTCCAAGCCCCGATTTCTCTCTCTTCACTTAGTGGCCTTCCCTGAACTTTAAGGAGCATTCTTAGAAATCCCACACAACATCTCCACTTCTGGCTCATGGTTCACAACCTAAGTGTGTGGCCACATTTATCTGCCAGAGGGGTAGGAAATCTTATTTTTTATTTGGGGAAGCTCTGTGCCCTGGTGAACAATTAGGGTTCTCATATTCAGGAATAAAAAGGAAATGAGTTTCAGAAAAGCGACAAAGGGACCTGCCATGGCTAATGGGGGGAGCCATCTGGGGAAGTCCCTGACAGTCCCCGTTAGCCTCCTGAGTGTGAGGCCAGAGGCCCAGACTCCCCTCTGTTCGAGGCCTGACCCTTCTCCATTCTTCCTGTGTTTCCAGTCACTGTCACCTTGATAGCCTGCAGGGACACAGAATTACACGATGAAGAGAAAGGCAACCTGGTTTTCCTGGGAATCAAGGGCAAAGACCTCAGCTTCTGCTGTGCGGAAGTTGAGGGTCAGCCCACGCTGCAGCTGAAGGTGAGTCGTGCAGTCGATGAGGGAAGCATAGCAAGTGGGCTTTTATCTTAACGGGTGACAGTGAAAAAATATTCCTGCAATCCTGGGTTGTCCCACGCAAGGAAGGAAATCTGACCTGGCTGGTCCCCACGTCCGTCAGTGGTGCCATTGGAGGGGGGGTACCACACTCAGGTCCATGCACAGCATGGCTCCTCGGAAAGCCAGAGGATGCACACAGCGATGTTCCTGAAAAGACAGGGGAAGTGGCTTCTCTGTTCTCCGTCCTGATTTGCTACCCCCTAGGAGCCCCCAAGGGAATGGGAGGCTCCCACTTCAACAGACTATCACATTGACAAGTGGAGGGAGAGGGTTCATCTGGATTTCTGACAGTGTTTGTTTATATCCATGTACCCAAAGGAAGATCAGTAGGTACAAAGCCTCTGCTCATGATGGGAAGTGTAATGTCTGAATCGACGGGGAGGTTGGGACTCCAAAGAGTGCCCAGGTCTGCAGATGAAGGCACCCCGGGAGCTTCAGGGAAGAGAGCATGCCAATCCCTGTTACAGAGAAGACAGCACCTGTGTTGCAGAGCCAGGCTCCTGGAACCTGCTAGGTCCATGCCCTGACAGCCTGGTCCTACCGGACACCCCAGTGCTGGGAACTGACCCTGGGGAGCTCTATCACTGAGCCACATCCCCAGCCCTTTTTAAAATTTTTCATTTTGAGACAGGGCCTCACTAAGTTGCTGAGGCTGGGCTCAAACCTGCATTCCTCCTTCCTCGGCCTCCCAAGTTACTAGGATGATAGGCCACCATGCCCTGTATCCCTAGCCTCCGACCCTCCCTCCTGTGCACAGAGTGCTGAGTTAGCTTAGCTCCCCACTGCAATCCTCCTCACTAATGAGCCTCTTTCTCACCCCCAGGAGGTCAGTATCATGGAACTGTACAGGGAGAACAAAGCTCGGACGCCATTTCTCTTCTTCCACAGCCTGGAGGGCTCCACCTCTGCCTTTCAGTCGGCCTCCCACCCCGGCTGGTTCATAGCCACGTCCTCCACAGCCAAGCAGCCCGTGACGCTCACCCGGGAGAGGGGCCTCGCTAACACAAACTTTTATTTAGGTCGTGAGAATTAAATCCAGCCTGGTCGGAGGGTGACAGATTTCAGGATAGACTATGAAGCTGTCAGAGAATCCTTCTGCTTGAAAATACAGTGCCATCTGACCAGGTCACCATCCCCTACGAGGTCATCCACAGTTCAGCCCATCCGTGGCCCACCTCATTCTGTCCCCCCTCAAACCTCTGCCCCTCTGTGCATCCACTTCTTCCCCATGTCCCTCGCCTGAGCACTGTCCCCACAGGAACCCTCAGAATCGCTTTTTATTCTTTCTTGGTCTCGACCCACTGTCCATTCAGCTGCCACATCCAGCTAAGTCAACCCCACATGCTTCTCACGTGACACCCTCCACCCTCTTCCTTCTGCCAATCATGGCCCGTCAATAAATGCCATAAGTAAATCCCATCAATAAAAGAACGCCATGTATTGATTTGGGGCATGTTTATTTAATACATCATATAATATAAACATTCTGTTTATGCTATAAGTGTTGTCATAATATTAACATTACATCATATAAACATTTAATATAAACATACTATTCATATAACATGTTTACATTATAAACATTATGTTATAATATAAACATCATAATGTTTATAATCTCAAAAGATACATTGAAAAGATGAGATGAAAACGTATCTTGATAAGCATGATGGATTCATAATCTAATTGGTTAATAATTCAATACACAGTGTATAGTTTGGCAGTGATTAATTATTAACCATGATGAAATTAAATTAATCCACATTTCAGAGAATTATTCATATCAGTTACAATTTCTTCCAGGCAACTTCTCAGAGCTAATTGTACTGTCTTTTTTTTTTCTTTCTAAAGCAGTTAGAAATAGAAGAACATATTAATATTTCCTTATTATCTCCTGGAATTGCAGTGGTCTTTTTCAATTCACAGCTTCTCTTGAGGGATAGTTTCAAGCCCGTTGTTCATTTTGTGAGACTCCTGTAGGTACAGCCTGCACATTCTCTACCAGAGCACATTTAGGGTGCCGTGTTCTGGAACATGCACCACACAGACATCCTTCAGCGTGACAAACCCGCCTCCCTCAGAAGGCCAGGCCCTCTCTGCCCAGGAAGCGCAGAGGTATCGGGTCTTGCGACGTATGCCCACTGCTGAGTTCAGTGTCCCAGCCAGGCAAGCTGGGTCCCCTACCCTGTCTTCCGGCATCACCTCCTGTTGCTTCCCTGCCAGGGGCTGTTCCAGAGACTTCTGAGCCCCCCTCTCGTCCTGTTAGCCTCCCTTTTGCTGTGAAAAGATTGGCTCTTCCAGCATTTCATGGCAGCCCCAGTGAGCAGCTCTCCCTGAGCCAGGGCTCCTGGGACACCCCGGGAGGACACTGGCAGGAATCTGCCTGGCGCTCACACAGGCATAAACCTAGAAGTGGGAGGGACCACAGGGACCTCTTGACCCATGGGGGTGGGAGCAGCTGCCCTCCCTCACCAGGACAGTTCTGAGTGGCACGGCAGGGCTGGACTCGAGACCCACCCCTGCAGAGGCTTCCCCCATTTCCTGCTCAACTCCCAGGCCCCTCTCTGGGCCCTGGACTCACCTTTGGTCACTCTGCGTACAAACCCTTGTCTCAGGCTCTGCTTTCTGATGAGACCGATTCTATCAAAGCCAGACCTCTCTGCTCACCACCGGCATGTTGCACTCCTCACCTCTGTGCCCCTGTGTGTGCCTGGAACACATCTGCAGCCCATCTGCCACTGTGTACCCCACCTCCCCCAGCTTCTCAATAGCCCAAATCTGCTTGCAAGGCTTAGAGGCCTCTCACCTTCCCCACGTCACTTCCTTTTGTGTTAAATCACATTTTTGCCTTTTCATGGGACAATTTCTTTCGTTGGACTTTGTGCTATTCTTGCCTCGGAATAACAGTTTCTACTACTATTGAAATAAATGAATCCTCCTTGCATGCCGTGAGGTCTGTGATAGCATCTGCCCGCTGATAGGGAAGCATGTCGGGCAGGATCCTGAATTGCAAAAGCAGAAGCAGCCATCGGCTTCGAGGAACATCTGAGGGACTGAGATTCCCTCAAAGAACATGCAGTGGGGAAGCACAGAGAGGTTCTTGGGGCTTGCCTCTTCTGTTCCTCCTCCTTTCCCCCACACCAGTGAGACCCAGGGACTGTGAGGTGGCTGGGACATCCACTTGGGTGTGCTGCAGAAACGAAGCACAGCCCAGAGCGTCCCCCAAGGTTGCCAGCCAGTGTCCACAGCCTGCCTCTCAGAGGGCTCAGCACATGAGAGTGTGCACTTTTCCCAAGCCCCAGCCCACGCATGCCGGGCACCACTGCATGGGCACACAGGAGAAGAAGCCCACGGGATTCACGGCTGCAACTTTTTTCTCTGACTCAGTCAGGTCTCAGCACAGGAGGACCCCAAAGATGGCTTGAAAGACTCCTGACAGTGAAGTTGGGCACATAGTAGGCACAACTGCAGAGCATGTGAGCCTGTAAATAGTGAAATCTATGGGAAGAATGGCGGGTGGTGTTGGAAAACAGTGTCACAGGGATGTGCTTGTAAATGTTTGCTTCCCAGCAACTCCAGGGGCCCTGGACATGGGCAAGAGACAGGCACCCACACTGCCCCATGGCCTCCAAGAGAGGGGCAAAGACACAGTGGTGGCAGGAGGGAGAAGAGGAAGAGGACGTGGAACCACAGAGGAGTCAGCATATCCCCTCCCTGGGTTAAGGTGTGTGATGCTCTTTGCTTGAACCTAAGCTAAGAATCAAAGGAGGAAGCCCAGGAAGAGGGATTTCTGTTCTGTCGGTATCAGAAAGCACTTCCCAAACATTGTGATTCCACAGCTTAAGAATTTGGGCATCCTGCAGAAATGCCTCCTTTGCAGGGAGCTAGGTGAATCCCTTGTCCATCCGCAGCATGAAGAGAATCATGCCAACATCAACACACAGGAGAAGCAAAGACAGACAGCGGAGTAGGAACACTCTAGAATCATATCTCCTGTTCAGTCTCTGAAGCATGGGCTCCTGTCTGTCTTTCCTCCAGTCTATGATTGGATACAGAGAGTCCGCCTGAATCTCCCCCAGTCAGCAACCTGGATGCAGGTCCGAGTCCACTTCAAGTGCTCCGACCGTCCTTCGTTTCTCCTGCTCTTTCCTTCCCTCAAATCCAGTTCCCTTTATTCTTTGGAAGAGAAACTTTTCAAGAATCTACAAACTTAAAATTGAAAATCTTTGCCTCCTACTTAGTCAAGAAGTTTGTTTTTATTTTGTCTGTGACCTAATGTGAACGGGGAACAAGAAAACACCTACACTGCCAATGAGAACGAAATACAAACATGCCAAAGACAGACGGACGGATGGACCGACCGGGTGCTGAGTCCCTTACAAGCAGAAGGTTCCTGATTATGACAATAACACTGAGCAGTCGGCCTAGGCCATATGGTTGGGTGTGACTCTTGAAATAAGTGGACATTAAAAAATGCATAAATTTACCCAAGCATCACACTATGGCCCATAAAGACGTTCAACTACTATCCATTAATAAAAAAATTATGGCAGCGGAAAGTTGGTGGACCCAGCATGGAAACCCAGTCAGTTACTTCTTCCAAGGCAGGATCTCCCAGGCCGAGCAGAAAGGGGTGGCTCTGGTTAGGCCTCTTATCAGCAGCCACCAAGTGGCCACCCTGGGCACCCATTCTCTCACCCCTCTGCTGGTTATCTTGCCAGAGGAAGTCCAAGTCCAAGGACATGGCCAGGACCCCAGCCTTTGAGGCCCTCGGAGCCCCTGCTCACACTCCTGTCTTGACCTGCCATGTATTCCTCCCTCTTTAGGAAATGTTAATCATCAGCTGTCACTAATGAATTGGTGCATTTACTTTGTAAAAAAAAAAATAATAATAGAAACTTAAAACATATCAGATAAATCCAAATTCCTTTCCTCCAATCCTGGTTCCCCTCTCCCCACCCTAATGGTAATCATTGTTATGTGCTGGGATCCCTCTGATCTATTTCTCCACACATGGAATGTGGAAATACACAGGGTGGTTCTGTTGGTGCCTCTGTGCATGTATGTGTGTGTGCTCGCTCGAGTACATCTCCCTGATTGGTGTAACACCACCCTGTTTTTCTCTGTGCAATTTTGGGTTCAGCACCACAGCTGCCTAGAGGGCTCTCTCAGGATAGACCTCCTGTTTCTGCAGCAGCTGCCAGTCATTCCTTCCTAGATAGTTAGTTTCCATTTTCTGGGAGTTTCCCTTATAAATAATGTGGCAACAGAGGTCCCAGCGCCTGCCTCCCACACACACCCACGACTTTCCTTACAAGAGAGAGCAAGTTGCCTGACTGTGGAGCATGCACATTCTTTATTTTCAAGCCCTCCCTGTGTCCAGGACAACTCATTGTCGTTCCGACTTGCTCATCCCTGATTACTAATAAACCACCCACCCCTCAGCACACTGCCGTCGGACTCTGACTTCTGACTTCTCCACCCAAGCCTGTTCCCTGGAGCATCACAGTGACACCTCTGTTGCCTAATCCAGGACACGGTGTTTTAGGCCCAGCCTGCCCTGTCCTCAATCTCCACGCTCACCTGCCGGCCGTTCTGCAGCAAGCTGCTCCTGGGTTTTCCCCATCTCCCTGGATTTCCCTTCTGGCTCCCATTTCCTGGTTCCTCCCCAGGTGACCTCTGAAGGCTGAAGTTACTCAGGACTCATCCTTGGGTCTTTCTACCATCTCCCTGGCTGACACTAGGGATGCTCATGAATTTAAATTCTAGCTGTAATCCAGCAAATCAATCTCTGGCCCAGAACTCCCTCTTCACCCGAGATTTGACTGAGGGGGCGACCAATCTGGACTGTCTCAGAACTTCCAGGATGAATGTGTCACACCTGGAACCCTTAATTCTGCCTCTACCACCCCAAGGCTTCTCCATCTCAGCTCCTAGAGACAGACATCCGGAGGTTACCTTCTGTTTCTCTGTACCCTGAAACCCCTCAGTCACTCCATCACACCGCCATAGCTGCCACCAAAGTGCACCTGGCCTGCAGATCTGCCTCTCGTCGCCTGTCAGCAGTGCCCACTGAATCGGTCCTCCACGTGGAGCAGGGGTCACTCCACAAGGGAAATCTCAACCCTGGCATCCCATGTGTGGCCATTTGCATTTGGAAAGCAAAGCAGATTCTTCACCACGGATCACAGCCTGGAGGACCTGGCCCCTGCACCAACCCTACTCCAGGTGACTTTCTCTCTGTGACCATCTCAGCTATGGCAGTCTTCCCTGGAGGTGCCAAGTTCTCAGGGCCCCAGGACTGTCACCTACACTGGTTCCATACACGGTCCTCGACTTTGATTGGTTTATTCCCATCTATAGCTGCCTCCTTCAGGTCACCCCCTGATATGTCCCCATAGTTTCAGGTGCTGTGGTCTGGAGGTGACGTGTAAGGAGGTGACT